AGAGCGGGGGCTGGGACTCCTGGATTCCATCCTATTCCCAGCTCTGCCACTGATCTGGGGCATGTTCCTTCCCCTCTTGATGCCTCTGTTTCCCCTCCCACCCTTGTCTAGTCAGACTGAGTTCCTGGGGGCAGGGACTGTCTCTCCCTTTGAGCCTGTGCAACACCTGGCCTGATGGGGACCTGATCTCAGTTGTAATCTCTAGGCACTACGGCATAATTAAGAAGTGGTTGATTTGCATCATCTGGGGCTTTTCTCCTGAAGTTCCTTGGTAGCGGGTCCTTGGGAGGTCTGTCCATCTCATGCCTCCAGTCACACAACTTGAGGGGGTGAGCACCCCCTGCAGCTCCTGTTGAAAATGGGACCCTCCTACAGGGATGCATGTATGCATGGACTCACACTTGTGAGCAGTGTGGGCACGGCGTGTGCACACGCACACTAAGCTTGGTGCCCTAACAGCACAGATGTGTGTTGGCCAAATTACAGATGTGTGTGCACCTGGAGGCAAGACTAGAGGGGGAACCCAGAGGGGCGCTAGTCCCACAGAGGGATGTGCAGCATATCAGTGGCTTGCAGGTAGACACCAGGCAATGTAGATCTGCAAAAGCCCATTGGATAGACATGTAACTGCAAGCCAGTTATACAGCTGGGTATGGTACCATTTGCATTCAGGGGTGGGGGAGGGCACTGACAGCTGAAATACAGAGGGAGCTGGGCAAAGAGTGAAAGGAAATGAATTTTATCACAGAAATATCCCCTCAGTGTTTGTTACTTGACTGCTAGAGCAGCAGCAGCAGGTATAGTGGATAGAGCACTGGCTGGGAGGCAGGACTCCTGTGTTCTATTCCCCCCTCTGCCATTGCCCTTGCGGTGGACCCTTCCCCTTGGTGCCTCTGCTTCTCCTCCCTCCCTTCATCTATTCAGCCTGTGAGCTCTTTATGCAGAGACTCTGTGTCACTGGGGGTTTGTCCCGCTCCTGGCAGAATGGGGACCCCAGTGGTCAGAGCCTCTCGCTGCTACTGTGATGTATGCAAGCCCCGGTTACAGCCATGCGTGAGCACAGCGGCAGGACTGAAGGGTACAGATGTGTCTTCTGCCGCTCCAGCTGTGTGGGGGTGCACTGTAAATGCACAGAGAAATGCAGCTGGGTTTTATGCCCTTCCGGCTGTGCAAAATGATGCACTGGAAATCAGCAGCACCAGGATATTGTTACGGGGCCTGAGTCTCCAGCGACGGTAGTGGGGATTGAAGGTGAGCCGTGCTTCTGAAAACTAGGCCATGGGCCAGAAGCTTAGCTGGGATAAGTCAGTAGCTACACTGACTCCAGTGAGTGCCCCCTGCTGAACCACCCACCCTGCTCCCTGCATCACGGCCCCTCTAGTGTCATGCTGGGGTCAGAGCGCCCCTTGCTGAGTCCCCACTCTGCTCCCTTCAGCACCACGCCCCCTAGCATCAGGCGGGGATCAGATCTGACTCTTACATGAAAGCATCCCCTGCTGAACTCCTTACAGCCTCTGGCCAGAGAGGGCTACATGTGCAACCAACATCTCCCACCCAACGCCCATGTAATGCCTGCCTGGTGCAGCTCAGAATGCCATCTAACTGGCCCCTGGCTGGCAGAGAGACTGAATAGGGGGTGAGCAGGGTTTCTCCAGGGCATAGGGAGGCATGCTGGCCAGGGTGGGGCCCTGTGTGTGTGGGTGCAGGGGGCCCTGGCTCTGGGAAATCTCACACACAAGGGGGGAGGCCGACTCATCCCTAGCACAGGAGATAAACATGCACTGAAGGGTCCTGGTGCTCCCCAGACAATAAAGAATGGAGCTAATGAACCAGGCCCGGTGCAGCACCAGGCGCTCCCTGCACTGCCAGGCTCATAAATCCCGCCTTGCTTCCCATCAGGGAGGAGACAGCGTAAATTTCATGCCCCACCACGGCCTGGGTGATGCGGAACAGAGAGTGCGGTGGAGAGGAGGGGGTTAAGAGCAATCACCGGTGTGGATGCTGGGCAGGTGGAGGGGGGGGGTCAATGAGAGTGTGGGATCTACCCCCACCAGCCCATGCTGTGATTTCCATTCCATTTAGAGAGGACACAAAGCCACATCAATCTGTGGTTGGGTGTGTTTCTGCAGGGACGGCGGGGTTCTGCCTGCAGCCAATGCAGTGTCTCCCATGGATGTGGCTCTCTGCTCCACGCACTCTCTGCCTGGATTTATGGCTCTTTCCTCACTACTCCCCGCCCCCCCTTCCCGCTCTCGTTCTATGCCTCTGGCCATAACAACTCTGGCTGTGATCTTGTCAGATCTTAGCACTTGGCCACAGAGGGGATTGGCGCAAAAGAACAAACCTGCGTGAGACAGCGGCTCCCCCTGGCTAAGTTGGGTCATTGCGCTGGTAGGGAGAATGGCAGGACAAACCCAAGGGGCTGGGAAGTTCACCTTGCAGTCAGTGCTGGGGGGCGCTGTGCTGCAGGGAGTGGGGTGGAGGGCTCAATAGGGGGCACTCTTGCCCTGGATCTGGAATTGAAGCCAGGTCTCCCTAGTCACCTGAGCAACTGAACCATCCTTCCTCTCCCCCTCACCACTCTGGATCAGACCAACGAGCTCATCCAGCCCAGTATCCTCCCCACTCCCCCCTGGATCAGACCAATGAGCTGCTCTCACCTGGTATCACCCAATGTCCCTTGTCCCTCCAAATCAGTCCAATAACCCACATGCCCACCGTGCTGGATCAGCCCAACAGGCTTGCTAACCCAGTACCCCATCTTCGACAGTGGCCAGCGCCAGCTGCTTCAGAAGCAGGTTCAAAGAACCCTGCAGTGATGGGTCCCCCTGCCCCCAGCTAGTCCCACCCGGAGGAGTTCAGTTCCTTCCATAGCTGCTGAATTCTACCTCTGCACAGTCCAGTATCTGTCTAAAGTCCTGAGCCCTCGTTGGAACGTGGCTAAGCTCTCACTCCTGGGTAGATCCTGTGGCAGTGAGTTCCGCTGGCTAATGGCACGGTGGAGGGGAGCATTTCTGGAGATCAGTTGGGAACCTGACACTTTCCATCCTCTCAGCCTGGCAACATGAGCTGGGGCCAATCAAAGCTCTCAAAGTCCTCCAAGATCCCATTAATCACTGCCTCCCTCTGCCTCCTCCTGCATCATCCACTCTTTTTTGTGAGGAATGGAGAGGGGTTTAGAGGCCCTGGACATCAGCCTCCCCGCCCCCAGCAGGGTACTTCTCCCCGAGGGATTCCCCAATTGCAGCATAAATGACAACATGGCACAAAGGAGCAAAGACTGCTTCCAGCAAGCCAGAGGTAAAACCTCTTCTTCCTTCTGCATAACCTCCCTGCTCAAGGAGGGAGTGTCCAACTCTTAGGTTTCCCTAGCCCTGGTTTAGTACTCAGTGCGGAGATGCAGCCACCTTGGAATGCTGGCTGTTTACACAGGGATCTTTCCTCCAGTGCGGAGATGCAGCCACCTCTGGTGTAAGGAATGGGGGCAGTTTATATGGGGATCCCCTGCCTGGTGCTGAGATGCAACCACCTCTAGGGTGTGGTGCAGCAGTTCCTCAACAGTCTACTACAGCAATGCTTCCTGAACCACTAAAGGCCCTTTCATTCAGTCAGCAAATGGGAAAGGAGGTAATAAAGGGATGCTTCACAAGCTGGGCCTGAATCTGTGTGGTGGGAGGGGAGTGGGATCCAGTGCTTTGAGCAGTGGGGGTTGGAAGCCAGGACTCCTGGGTTCTATTCCTGGCTCCGTGAGGGGAGTGGGGTCTAGTGGTTAGAGCAGGGGTTGAGGGCTGGGAGCAAGGACTCCTGAGTTCTATTCCCACTTTCCCCAGTTGGGCTTCGATTTGTGTGATTGGGGAGGGGTGGCTCCAGCTAACTCTTAGGTCCTGTAAATCCTGGAGCAGGGGCAAGATGTGGGGGAGCCATTGCACCTGCCGCCTGCCTGGAGAAAGGCAGACAGGACGGTAAGGGAGGCCGGGGGCTGAATGTGTTGGGCCAGCCAGACCCTGAGGTGTCTAAGGGTGTGGGGATGGTGCCTGCTAAATACAGGTGTGATACTGGGGACCTGATCAGTGGGGAGGGGCAGTGGGTTAGTGTAATGCAGCATAGAACTGGGGGTGGGGAGTTTAAGGGGGCATCAGGGTGTGTGTGTCGGTAGCAGTGTTTATCGGGGGGTGCACAAGTGTGCAGCTGTGTGAGTTCACAGGTTTCTCTCTCTATTTGTGTGTGCATAGAGGTGAGAGGGTAGTGCTGGATGAGTTCATAGAATTGTGTCTCTCTGTGCAGGTATCCATAGGGACGTGCTTGCGTGTGTGTGTAGCACTATGTGAGTTCATAAGGCTGTGTCTTTGTGTGAGTGTACACAAGTGTGTAGCTTTATGAGTTTACAGGGATGTGTCTTGGTGTGAGTGTGTGCATGTAGCAATGTGTCAGGTCACCAACAGGTGTTTGTGTGAGTTCAAAGGGGTGTCTGTGTGCACACATGAGCACAGAGATTGTGTAGGTTTTTACATTCATGAACAGGAGTTTGTGTGTCAGTGTGTGTGCAGAGGTTTGTGCCTGTGCATGTGTGTTTCTGTGTGCATACACAGGGATGTGTGGGTGAGTGTGTACCTTTGGTGCATGTGTGTGAGAGCACCTAAGTGTGTGTGTGCAGGGAGGGCATGCAGGAATGTGTGTGTGTGTGTGTGAAGGGATGTGTGTGTCAATGTATATAGGTTAATGTGTGTGTAGGGAGTGAGTGCGTGTAGGGGTTAGAGTGTGTCGGTGTGTGTGTAGGGAGAACAGTGTGTCAGGATGTGTGTAGGGTGTATGTGTGTGGCTGTGTGCGTGTGTAGGTGATATAGGGGGGACAGTGTGTCAGGGTGTGTGTGGGATGTGTCTTTGGCAGGGTGTGTGTAGGGTGTGCGTGTGTAGGGGGGACATTATGTCAGGGTGTGTGTCCAGTGCACCCTGTAGAAGCCCCCCACCCACACATGCCGGCAGCAGAGAGAAGGACCCACCTGTGCTGGGCTCACACTCCTCCAGATCCTCATCATCACTGGGGCACTCAGCTGACGCCACCAACAGGTCGTCTGTGTTCTGGAGAGAGAGGAGAGCACAGCTCAGTGAGGTGGTGCAGGGCATGCCCTCCCTGCACACAGCCCCCCAGCCTGGAGCTAGTGCCCCCAGAAGGGGGAGGAGCTAATGAATCACTCCTCACACCCTGAGCCAGCCAGGCCTGGGCGCTCCTCAAACACTCTCATGTTTTGGTCCCCACCACCTATGGTAGGACCTCGTGCGTCAAAGTCAGTTCTCTGAGGCCTGGGCACCACGTCAAATTTAGGTCCACACAGTCTCGGTGTGCAGGGGTGTGAACCCTGCCCTGGCCCCCATAGCTATGCTGCCCTAACCCCCGGTGCAGACGCAGCTAGGCAGTGGGAAGACTGGCTTGGGGAGGCGGTGTGCCTACACTGACGGGAAAAACCTCTTCTGGCGATGCAGGCCGGCAGTACGCCACAGGGCTAGGCCAGCACAGGTTGCTGTGCCAGGCCAGTCTCCTTGGCCTGTGTCTCCCACATCCCGGTGCAGTGCAAAGCAAGGGGGAGACCGTGCTGTGCGGTCCCACTGGGTCAGACACACGGCTTGGCTGGCGAGCAGCCGCGGTCGGGTCTGGGAGCCTTGTGGATAGACCAGGGGTCGGCAACTGTTCAGAAGTGGTGTGCCGAGTCTTCATTTATTCACTCTAATGTAAGGTTTCGCGTGCCAGTGATACATTTTAATGTTTTTATAAGGTCTCTTTCTATAAATCTATAATATATAACTAAACTATTGTTGTATGTAAAGTAAATAAGGTTTTAAAATGTTTAAGAAGCTTCATTTAAAATTAAATTAAAATGCAAGAGCCCCCCGGACCTGTGGCCAGGACCCGGGCAGTGTGAGTGCCACTGAAAATCAGCTCGCGTGCCACCTTTGGCACATGTGCCATAGGTTGCCTACCCTTGGGATAGACACTGGCCTGGGACTCTGGAGTTCTAGTCCTGGCTCTGGGAGGGGAAGGGGGCCTAATTGTTGGGGGAGCTGGGAGTCAGGATTCATAGGTTCTATTTCTGCCTCTGCCACTGACTTTAAGTGACTCCTTCCCCCCACCCCCTGCCCCTACTTCCTCTCCAACCCTGTGTCTTTGGGACAGGGTCTGTCTGTGTCTGTGCAGCACCCAACACAATAGTGCCCCAATCTCATCTATGCCGGGCCAGCTGGGCCCATCAGTCTGATCTGGGATGGAAGGGAGGTGGGGACACTGGGCTGCTAACCCATTGCTCTGAGCTGGGCCAGGGGGATACTGGGCCCGCTCGGTCTGGCTCCCAGCTATTCATCTCCCTGTTCCCCATCCAGCGAGGGTGCCATGTGGTGTGGGAAGGGAGAGGCCCGCTCCCCAGCAATCAGTATTCCAGAGCTGGCTCCGCAGATCATGCTCAGCGTGTCGGAATTAGCATAACAAAGACTTGGACAGGGACCCCGGGGCAGGGAATCAATCAAGGCCCTGGCACAGCAGCAGGAATGGCAATGTGGAAGCACTGCAGAGTGTGTGTGGAGGGGGGTGATACCCCCCTGCAATCACACAGCTAACCCCTCTCACATGGAGCCAGCTGTGTCTAATGCCTCCCCCCTCCTGCAGCCAGCCATGTCTGATCAGCCCCTCTCCTGCAGCCAGCTAGGTCTAATCCCCTCCCCCGCAGCCAGCTGTGTCTAATCCTCACCCTGCAGTCAGCGGTCTGATCATCCCCCCTCAGCCACTGGGTCTATTTCTCACCTTCCCCCACCCCCAGCAGTCAGCTGTGTCTGATCGCCCCTCCCCGCTGCATACAGCCAGCTGTGACAAATCCCCCCCACCCGCAGCCAGCTGTGTCTGATCACCCCTCCGCACACAGCCAGCTGTGACCCCCCACCCGCAGCCAGCTGTGACTGATCCCCACTTCACACCGCCAGCTGTGACAAATCCCCCCAACCCGCAGCCAGCTGTGTCTGATCGTCGCCCCTCCTCCCTGCACACAGCCAGCTATGACAGATCCCTCCACCCGCAGCCAGATGTGTCTAATCCTCACCCTGTTGTAGTCAGCTGTCTGATCTTCCCCCCTCCCCACACCGCACACGGCCAGCTGTGTCTGATCGCCCCTCTCCCTGCACAGCCAGCCAGCTGTCTGACCCCCCCACCCCGCTGTGTCTAATCGCCCCTCCCCCCTCAAATAACCAGCTGTGACTGATCATTTCTCACCTCCCCCCTCCACCCCCAGCTGTGTCTAATCCGCCCTCTTCTGCAGCCAGCTGTTCTGGTTCACCCTCACCCATCTGTATCTGACCCCCCCCCTTCTCCTGCATTTAATCCCCAGCTACCCCATGAGCCATCACCCCTCCCTGTCCTTCAGAAAGGCAGAGGCCTGCTTTGAAAAGCAGGGGCATCCAAGAGTCCCTAGCCCCAAGAGTCATTGCTTGAAGGCAAATCCTGAGAGGATTTTAGGGGGCTGGTTCCAGGATCCCCTTTACAGGGTGTGGCCGGAAGGGCAGGTGAGGTGAGGATACAGAAGGGGTGGGGCAGATGCAGGCAGGGCTGCCCAGATGGGGGGCAAGTGGGGCAATTTGCCCCAGGCCCCACAGGGGCCCCCATGAGAATATAGTATTCTATAGTATTGCAACTTTTTTTTTATGGAAGGGGCCCCTGAAATTGCTTTGCCCCAGGCCTCCTGAATCCTCTGGTCAGCCCTGGATGCAGGCCCCTGGGGGATTCCCCATCCCCCCAGCTGTTCATTAACTCTCCCAGTCTGGCTTCCTTTGGAGCTAATGGGAGATGCAGCAGGCTCCCCCCCCACCCAAGGCCTCTCCTGCACAGCACACTCACGCCTCCAAGGGCTCTCCGCCTCGAGTGCTCTCAATCAGGTCCTCCTGGGGCGAGTGCTCTCAATCAGGTCCTCCAGGGCTCTTGAGCCGCTTCCCGGTTGGCCACTGGCCGCTTGAAATAGCGACTGAGATGGCGAAGGACTTACGGCAAGTGGCATCCTGCTGCAATTCCCCAGCTAAGCAGTGCTGGGCTTGGCTAGTAGGAGGGACAGTAGGGGGTGCTCTCCCTTGCAGTCTGTGCTGCACTAGGAGGCGCCGTGCTGCAGGGAGTGGGGTGGGAGGCCAGCAGGGGGTGCTGGCTGGCAGGCAGGAGCAGGGGGCTGCAAGGCGTAGGGTAGGAGCTCAGTAGAGGCATTCTGTTGCAGGCAGTGCTGGGGGGCATGGGCTGCAGGGCTCCACAGGGGCGCTCGCCCCTTGCACTCAATGCAGCACAAGCTGTGGGTGGAGAGCACCTACTGCTTTAGCAGTGCTGTGCTACCTCTGCGGAAGGGGCTGCGAGCGGTGCCCATGTCGGCCATGCCAAGAGGGTCTGGGCATACCAATGAACAGCAGCAGGGGCAGTGTGCCCTGCTCCTGCCAGCACGTGTCAGAGATCAACGGAGCTGCCTTGAAAAGCAGGGCTCTGGGGCAGAGCCTGAGAGGAGGCCTGGAGACCAAGCTGCTTCTTAAGTGCAGAGAGGATGGGCTGTGCTGCCAAAGCACCCCCTGCTCCCAACAGGACTGAGTCCTTGCTGGAGGGGGCAGCTGCCATTCTGCCAGGCCTTCAACAGCATGTGTCCTCCAGGTGCAACTGGGACTAGAGTCCTGACTCCCAGCCCCCTGCTCTAACCACCAGCCCTCCCACTGCTGGGATAGAACCCCGAGGTCTTGACTCCCAGCCATAGGCGTGCGCACAGGGTGTGCCGGGTGTGCCCAGGCACACCCTAATGCAGGGGTGGGCAAATGGCCCCCCTCCCCCGGTGCAGCAAGCCGCGGGGTCTGTGCTCCCGGGCTGGAGTGCCCGGCTGAGTGCAGCAAGCCGCCGGCCCCTCTCCCGCCTTCCCTCCTCCCCTGGAGCCATGCCGCTGGGCGTGCAGCACTCTGGGGGCCAGCTCCGCTGGGAGGTAGACACGCTCCCCCCTCCCCTGGAGTCATGCCGTCACGCACGCAGTGCTCTGGGGGCTGGGGTTGTGCACTCCTGCAGGGCAGTGTTTGGCTCCGTGGGGAGGCTAGGAGCCTCATCTCATGGTAAGGGGTCCGGGGCCAGGGGGGTTGCATAAGAGGTGGGGGCAGTCAGGGGACAGGGAGCAGGGTGGGTTGGATGGGGGGTGGGAGGGTCTATGGAGGGGGCAGTCAGGGAGCAGGGGGGTTGGATGGGGCATGGGAGTCCCAGGGTCTGTCAGGGGGTGGATAGGGGTCAGGGCAGTCAGGGGACAGGGAGCAAGGAGGGTCCTGGGGAGGCAGTTGGGGGAGGGGTCTCTGGAGTGGGTGGTCAGGGGACAAGGAGCTCAGTGGGTTTGGATGAGTCAGGAGTTCTGGGGGGGGGGG